CACCTCATGCTGGTCAGAATGGTTAAAATGAACAACCCAGGAAACAACAGATGTTGTCAAGGGTGCAGAGAAAGGGGAACCCTCTTAGACTGTTGGTGGGAATGCAAATTGGGGCAGCCTCTCTGGAAAACAGTATGGAGATTCCTCAAAAAGTTAAAAATAGAGCTACCCTATGACCCAGCAATTGCACTACTAGGTATTTATCCAAAAGATACACAGTAATTCAAACAGGTATATGCACCCCAATGTTTATAGCAGCAATGTCCACAATAGCCAAAATATGAAAAGAGCCCAGATGTCCATCAACAGATGAATGGATAAAGAAGAGGTGATATGTGTGTGTATGTGTGCATATATATAGATGTATATGTTATATATATATTATATACACTTATATATACACATATAGATGTATATGTGTCATATATATATATATATATATATATATAATGGAATATTACTCAGTCATCAAAAAGAATGAAATCTTGCCATTTGCAACAATGTGGATGGAACTAGAGAATATTATGCTAAGTGAAATAAGTCAGTCAGAGAAAGACAAATACTACATGATTTCACTCATGTGTGGAATAAAAAATATCTGCTGAACATAGGGGAAGGGAAGGAAAAATAAGATGAAAATTGAGAGGGAGGCATACCGTAAGAGACATTGAACTCTAGGAAATGAACTGAGGATTGCTGGGGGAGAAGAGGGAGGAAGGGATAATTGAGTGGTGGGCTATTAAGGAGGGACATTACTTTATGTAAACTGGGTATTATATGCAACTGGTAAATCACTAAATTCTACCTCTTAAACTAATTAAAAAAAAGGAAATTGACCATAAATAAATAAACAAACAAACAAAATCTTTTAAAAAACCTCCTCTTGGCCATCATTATAGTTCCTTAAGTGCCTGTTGGTATACCATCCACATTCATATCTGATGAAGTTAAAAGAGCAAATTATATTCCAACATATCGGCAGATGACAACATGCATCTCTCATACCCAGGTACTTGCTTTAACCAGGGTGTCATCCTGGTTTACAGAAACATAATGTAGTGGTTGTTAGCTGACAGTCACAGTATGCCCAGTGAGGTTCAAAGGTAGGAATCAAAATAATAAATGTAACATGTGACTAAAATGATATTTCTAACCTATGATGATCTAGGCAGTTCATCAAGGAACTCTGAGTGATGTCTTCTCTTCAGACAGTATATATAAGGTCTCAGAAAACTGTTGAGGTGTGGCTTTGGTTCAGTTGTCCTTTCTTTTTTTAAAAAAATATTTATTTATTTCTTTGTTTGTTTATTTACTTATTTGATGGAGAGGGGGAGAGAGAGAGCACAAGCAGGCAGAGTGGCAAGCAGAGGGAGAAGGAGAAGCAGGCTCCCCACAGAGTAGGGGGAGCTCGATGTGGGAATCAATCCCAGGAGTCTGAAATCATGACCTGAGCTGAAGGCAGTTACTTAACCAACTGAGCCACCCAGGCGCCCTCTACCTGTTTTTTTTTTTTTTTTCTTTCTAGTTGTCCTTCTTAAGGGATAATTAGTCCTAGAGTAGCTTCTTATATTGGCCATCACCCAACACCACATATGAGAGGAATAACTAAGACTATTAGTGTCATGTGCTGAGGTGGTTTTTAAGGAAAGAATGATAACTCCCTTTCCTGCCATTATTTCCCATTATGTGACCTCTTTTCAACTGCCACAGGTCTCCTGATTTTTCCAGTTTCTACCTGTCTTACCCCAGATTGGGCTTCACTGGTTCAGCTATACTGCCCTCTAGAGGCATGTGTCAGGATTAGGCTCTCCAGAGAGGCTGCTTTTCATTTTTAGGAAGGAATAGAATAGCAAGGGATGATGGGCCAGTCTCTACCAGGAAAGAGAGAGGCATCACCTATGGTCAGTCTTAACTTAGCATCACTGAGTGAAATTACTATTCAGTCCATTTTTCCTTTAGGAATATACACAGGAAAATTTAGAGGAATGTAAGTAGAATTCTGAGCAGCAATGTCTCCTTCTGTCTGGACTGCAGATGTTGCCTTGGACTCAAGTCAAGTCAGTTGGATTCACAAGACACAGACATTTTGTAAGGTGGAGATGATTTTTGTGAGGTAATAGGTAACATCATCCCTGTCCCTCTCATTCCCATCTCTGCACCTCCCTGAATTTCCAAAGATATTCTTCTTATACTGTCCCTTAATTTCAGGTGAAGCACACATTTGTGCGATATTAATCTATACTGTGCACCAGTGCTAATAGTCCCAAAGCCTTTGTTCATTATCTCTAGGTCATCCAACTTCTTTTAAAATTGAAGTACAGTTTACATATAGTAAAATAATGCAAATCGTAAGTGTACAGCCTTTTACTGATGATTTGTTTATCTAATTCCTGTTGATGAACACTGGAGTTGTTTTTAGTTTGTTCTACTACGAATAAAGCTGCTGTGAATATTTTATACAAGATTTTTTATAGACAAATGGTTGTTGTATGTGTAATTTTATTAAGAATTGCCAAACTGTTTTTCAAAGTGATTACATAATTTCACATTCCCACCATCAATATATGAGAGTTTCAGTTGCTCCAAATCCTACAAAAATTTTATATTGTCTTCTTAATTGTAGTCAGTCTATTGAGTGTTCAATGGTATCACATTGTGACTTGAACTTACATTTCCCTGATAAGTAATGATGTTGAGTGTCTTTCATATGCGGTATTGTCCATTTGAATATTTTCTTTTGTAGTGTCTGCTCAAATTTTTTGTTCACCTTTTTTAAAAATTTTTTTAACTTATTTTCAGCATAACAGTATTCATTGTTTTTTTGCACCACACCCAGTGCTCCATGCAATCCGTGCCCTCTCCAATACCCACCACCTGGTTCCCCCAACCTCCCACCCCCCACCCCTTCAAACCCCTCAGATTGTTTTTCAGAGTCCATAGTCTCTCATGGTTCACCTCCCCTTCCAATTTCCCTCAATTCCCTTCTCCTCTCTAACTCCCCTTGTCCTCCATGCTATTTGTTATGCTCCACAAATAAGTGAATTTAAATTATATTAATTCACATATAGTGTATTGCTAGCTTCAAAGGTAGAGTTAAGTGATTCATCAGTTGTATATAACACCTAGTGATCATTATATCCTTAATGATCCTCCTTATGCAAATCCTCCTTAATGGGAATCATCCAGTTACCCCATTCCCCACCCCTCTCCCCTCCAGCAACCCTCAGTATGTTTCCTATGGTTGAGAGTCTCTTGTGGTTTGTCTCCCTCTCTGATTTTTTCTTGTTTTATCTTCTCCCCTATTATTCTTATAAAAATATTTTATTATATTAATTATTTTAGCTTTGTTGAAGTCTTGAAATTTGGTAATGTGTTTCCTCCAACTGTGTGGTTTTTCTTCAAGATTGTCTTGGTTATTCCAGGGTGTTTTCATTTTCATTTAAATTTTAAAATGGGCTTGTCAATTTCCAAGGAAAATGACCACGTTCCAGGGCTCAGGCTTGGAGTAAAGTGGGTAGAATCAGCATTTGCTCTCCCACAGCCCACAGTGGCAACCTGGTTTGGTGTAGGGTATCTGTTGACTGTGGTTAGGGGAGGAGGTCACAAAGGAACACAAATCACAATGACCTCCTGTTTTTCAACAAAAACACTTGATGCAGTAGGATGATGCAGATATATCTTTAAACTTTCACAAGTTTTGGTACCTAGAATGCTATATACTATCAAATTATAACTCAAGTGAAAGAGCCAAATAATGACATATTTCAGATAGGCATACATATAGAAAATTTCACCTCTTTGGACCTTACAAAGAAAGTCTCTCACCATTACATTAGTCATCTGATTTATTAAGAGGTTCCATGTGTTATATATTGTAACATATGTAACAATATTGTACATATGTTCATATTCTATGTGTTATTTTAAACAAATCAGAGATTATAAATGTGTTAATTGGAAATTCTCTCCCTCTCTCTCACCTACTGCACTGACTTTGCCCACATATATATTTATATAATCTTTAAGAACAATGAATTCAGTTTTATACTTGTTGCATATCTTCATTTTTCCACCTAATGGCTTTCAGGGGATAAACATCCATTTGATTCTTCCAACTTGCTGCATATTCTTACACGCTCTGTAGTTAATAATCATTTCTCCATTCGTTGTTGATAGGATTTTAAGTTGTCAATTTTTATGTGTCATAAATTTGGAATCACTGAAAAAATATATCTCAATATCCATATACACTTATGATAGTATTTCCATATGTTAGAATCCTAAGAGTAGGAGTTTCCAGAACAAAGTATTAAATTACATATTTTTAAACACACAGCTTTAGAGATGGATGGAGGAAAGTTATCCCCATTGTGGAATGGATAACTTTCATGTAATCATCCTTGGTTCTTGTTCATTCTGGCCATTACCATTTTTATATTGTATGGTAAAAAGAAATAAGAGAAAATAAAAAAGAAATAAAACCACAATGAAACAATCAAGAATAGAAAGATAAGAGTAAGGCAAAAACTTAATTTTTAAGCAAGAAAAAATTTTATGAAAGAGAAAAATAAGGAATTATAAAAATCCTCAAAATGAGAAAAGCAGCTAAAATGTAATTCTTCTCCCCCCATTCTTTTTTCCTTAAAATGTTTGCAAAGATATTAAACAGCTATAAATTAGGTGGCTGTTTTTAGCAATATACTGAAATGTGAAATGTTTTGGGGGGTAAGTCTTATAAAAGAAGAGCAGTTTGTTCAGGATATATATATATATTGGAAAATGATTAGTTTAAAGCAGCATTTGGAGGATGAGAACATGATGAATCTTTGTGGGAAAATGGAGAAATAGTGAAGAAAATTATCATGATTTCAGCAGAGGCAGGGACCATAGGTCAGCTGTCATCAATGGATGTGAGCACAAGTTAACTTGCAACAGTTCAGTTTTCATGAAGATCTAGTAGAGACCAGATTTGCGTGGAGCAGATTACATGTGTGGGTTTGTCAAGAGGGTACTGCCTGGGACTTCCTCCTGCCCATCAGCTTCCTCAGGCCCTGTTTCAGGTCTTTGTTTCTCAGACTGTAGATAAAAGGGTTTAGCATGGATGACAGAACTGTGTAGACAAGTGTTGCTATGTGGTCCCTGGTAGTGTAGGTGGACAGGGGCTGTAAATAGACATAGAAGATGCTTCCATAAAAGAGAGCTACCACGGTGAGGTGAGAGCCACAGGTGGAGAAGGCTTTGCGTTTCCCAGCAGCTGAGGGGATCTTGAGAACTGCGATGAGGATTCGTAGATAAGAGAAAATAATGCACAGAAAGGGAGTCACCAAAACAACAGAACCTTCTGACAGTATCACAATTTCATTGGCAAAGGTGGGGGAGCATGACAACTTCATCAGGGGACTGAGGTCACAGAGGAAGTGATGGATGACATTGGAGTCACAGAAGATGAGGCGATTCAGTAGTAGGGTGTGTAGGAGTGAGTGGAGGTGAGGAAGTGAGAAGGAAAAGGCCACCAGCAGGACACAGCGATGGTGGTTCATGGTGGTGACATAGTGTAAAGGGTCACAGATGGCCACATAGCGGTCAAAGGCCATGACCACCAGAAGGCAGCTGTCAGTGTTGCCCAGAGCATAAATGAAATACATCTGTGTCAGACACCCAGCATAGGAGATGGTCTTCTCTGACAGGAAGTTCACTAGCATCCTGGGGACAACGGTTGTCGTAAAGCAAATGTCAGTGAAGGACAGGAAACTCAAGAAGAAATACATGGGGGTCTGGAGCTGGGGGTCAGAGTGGATGGCCAGGATGATGAGTAGGTTCCCGATTATGGTGACCAGGTAAATAGTGAGGAAGAGGATAAAGAGGGATGTCTGGTCTTCAGGCCGGGAGGAGAGTCCCAGGAGAATGAACTCAGAGACACTGCTGGTTTTGTTGACTCTTGCCATTGGCTTGGGTCTAGTTCTATACACGATGTTTTGTTATTTACCTTACTCCAAGTCCACAACCCAGCAAGTCTTTGTTTTCTCTGGTCACAATTAGCTGCTATGCAGGGGCCCTTGTCAATCTCCCTTGATGTGGTCCTCTGTTCCCAAATTCATGGCATCACAAAGTCGTATAGTGAGGCTGGAGGGACAGAAGAAGAATTTTCCTTTAGAAACCATTAGAGATGGACCTCACTGATTCCAGTTCAGTAGTTCCTATTCTGTGAAAGTACTGCTCCCTTGCTGGAGAGTTAGCAACTAAAAACAGGCAGTTCCACTGTGTAGCTCATGTTCTAGTTGGGGAGACAGATCATCAACAAAGATCATTAACTAGTACATAAAGGATGGAGATGGTTGAGGGATGCATTTGCCAAAATAAGCAACAGGGAAAATTTAAGGGGAATGTGAACCCATTTCAACAAAGTGGGCCTTTTTCCCTCTGAGGAGTCTGTGCAATTTTCCTTTTCCTGTAAATTATTTTTCCTTTCTTTAGTATTTTGTCCTAAATCACATTTGTACAGGATGGGCATCCATTATTGAGTATTCAACTTATGCTTTATAATTCACCAGTCATATGTGTATGCAGAAATACTTATGAGAACACAGTAATTTTTTATATATTAAGTGTTGATATACACATGCTTTTTTCCAGTCTTATGCAGTTACCTTGTGATTGACATCAGAGTGGCCTCATTTTCTTGCTACTAAAAAAACTCTGTGATGAGAGATCTTATATAAGCAAAATGTTTTAAATCAACTTTTTAGAGTCAGCATATCCATCTATACCTCATTAATGGACATATTACATAGAGATTTTCAAATGGTTTGAGATATTGGTTATTTATATATTCCTACTTGCCATAAAAATCTCTATAATGAACATACTTAAATCCTCAATGTGTTTGAAATAATTTTAAAAGCACCATATTCTTTCACACCTTTTCAATGATCTTTTTACATTGGAACTTTCATGGGTTAAATACTGTTATTCTAACTAATATGTTGATTCATTTAACATTGAAATATTAATAATTGATTAATTTAACAATTAAAATGCAGTAATTACATTAATAATTAAATGATATCATGTGCATAACTGATTATGGTTAATAACAGTTTATTGCATATTTGGAGGTTGCTAAGAAAGCAAATTGCAAAAGAATGCTTACATTTTATTTTATTTTATTTTTCTTTTGAGAGAGAGAGCATTCAAGAGTGAGAAGGAGAGCAGGGAAGGGGCAGAAGCAGAGGGAGAGAGAGAATCTAAAGCAAGCTCTATGCCCAGTGTGGAGCCTGAAGAGGGATCAATCCCATGACCCTGAGATCATGGCCAGAGACAAAATCAAGAGTCAGATGCTTAAACAGCTGAGCTGCCCAGGTGCCCTGACTCAAGAGAAACTCTTGATCATCATAAGTCTCAGTGTCACCTTCCCTTATCTGCTATGGCTGGTTGTCCCCAAAATCAATTAACTCACATGCTTAAAATATCCTTCTCACTGCCAAGTTGTCAGACTAATCTCATGGTTTTTGCAAGAACTTACAGAAGAAATGTTAGTTAATTCACTGCATGATTTGAGTGAACCAGTAGTTAAAGTTAATAACAATAACCAGTATCATTGAGAATTTTCTACATGTCAAGTTTGTGCTAAAGACCTCACAAATGCCACGATGAGGGACCATGAGGCATGTGTTCTTAACAGGAGCCTGAGGCTTAGAGGTGCAGTGGTTTACTCAGGGTCACCAAAGAAGTGAATAGCAATCAGGATTTGAACTCCAAGCTGAATTACTCTGAAGCACATGCTCTTAACCCTTAGGCTACACCTCCTCATGTCTGTGTGTCTACATTTTGGGTCACAATCATACACGTGTTTGCCTCACAGTGGTCATTTCCAACATGACCACCCCTTCTATCCCTTAATCTATCCTTGCAGTGGCTAGGGAGGTGCCTATCTTTCTGTGTTATACAGATGGAGGACTTGAAGTTTTGAACATCCATGACTGACTGGCCCAAACCAGGTGGAAAAAAATTGGCCATGCATGGCTGGGATATGTCCATGTGGAGCTGTGGTCAGTGCTGGGCAGTGTTCTGGATGGGGTTCGATTTGTCCTCTGTCACTTGTTCATAAGCTGATTCCTGATGTTTTATGAATAGCAAGTGAGATACCATGTCTGCAAAACAATTTGTCAAACACAGATCAGTATTAAACAAGGAGCCATTTGTGAAAGGGTTGCCTGTGGAAACCAGAAATTAGTGGAAATTTGGGTTAATTAATGAGGTTGGGTGATCACCTATTCTGATGACTAGGAAAAAGGAAGGTTTTTGAATCTAAGAATCAGGAAGAAGAATTCTCAAAGCATAAGGTGAGTGGGTGAGGCTGGGAATACAATGGGTTTGTTTGTTTGTTTGTTTGTTTGTTTTTCTTTCCCTTTCCCTCTTTCTTTCTCCCTTCCTTTCTCTCTTTCTCTCATCTTCCTTCCTTCCTTCCTTCCTTCCTTCCTTCCTTCCTTCCTTCCTTCTTTCTTTCTTTTGTTCCCTTCCTTCCTTCGTTCCCTCTTCCCTCCTTTTCTTTCTTTCTTCCTTCCTTCCTTTCTTTCCTTCCTTCCCTTCCCTTTCCTTTTCTCTCTCTCTCTCTTCCCTTCCTTCTTTCCTACTTTCTTTCTTTCTATTTTCCTCCTTCATTCTCTCCCTCTCTCTCTTCTTCCTTCTTCCATCCCTCTTTCTCACTCCCTTTTTTCCTTCCTCCCTTTCTTCCTTCCTCCCTCCCTCGCTCCCTTTCTTTCTTTTCTTTTTTCTTTATTTGTTTGTTTCTTTCTCTCCCTCTCTCTCTTCCTTCCTCCCTCCCTCCCTCTTACTCTCTCTCTCCCTTTTTTTCCTTCCTCCCTTTCTTCCTTCCTCGCTCCCTCTCTCCCTTTCTTTTTTTCTTTTTTTGTTTGTTTCTTTCTCTCCCTCTCTCTCTTCCTTCCTTCCTCCCTCCCTCTTACTCTCTCTCTCCCTTTCTTTCCTTCATCCCTCCCTCTATTTATCTTTCTTTCTTTCCTTCTTTCTTCCTCCATCTCTCCCTCCCTCCCTTCCTCCTTCCCTTTTCTTTCTTTCTTTCTTTCTTTCTTTCTTTCTTTCTTTTTCTTTCCTTTCCTTCCTTCCTTCCTTCCTGATGGTGTTTTCCTTCCACCAAAGGCCACAGTGTAAACTGCCTAAGAGGCCAAAATGGATGACTGAAAACTAAAAGCCAGATGGAGGTTTTAGTTGGACCCTATGACTACTTAATCCATGAAATATTTGAAGCTATCAGGGAGGAAAGCGTAGGTGCCAGAGGTTGGAGGAGCCAAGCATGTGGTTAGTTTACTGAAGCTCACCTCCACATCCAGATGCTGTTCTGCATCTGCTACTCAGCTGCCAGTCTGCTTCTCAGCCAAGCACAGCCACCTCATGGGTCTCCCATGACATTCTGGGCTGAAGAACAAGGAGAAGAATAGGAAAGGCAGGGGAACAGATATGTTACTTGGAAAGGATAGCACGTTTCCCTTCACTGGCCTCCAACACCTCATGTCTGGTCCCCAGCATGCTGCTGCTTTCCCAGCTCCCCATCTCAGAAAGAAGAGAAGTCCTGACTCAAGGGACAAGGACCTTCTTGATTGTGAAAGCCTAGGCAGCATCTCCTGAGTCTGAGTTCTGCTCTGTTGGCCTCGGGGGTCCTTGTTAGGCTGAAGAAGTTGTGGTTTGATGAACTCTCCAGAGAGCTGGTCCTGTAATCATTCTAAGCAGAGTAAGTAGACTGGGAATCACACCTAGCAGGGCTGACTCCAAGGGATAGAGGAGCCCCAAGGCTTCCTGTTTCAGTGTTGGGACTCATTCCAGAGCTTCTTAACCTCAGTGCAACCACCTTTAGGTGTAAGGTTAGCTTGTGTATTTGAGACCTTTCTAGGTTTTTTTTGGGTGGGGGCAGGTGGGTGAAGGCTTATATTGCTATGTAGTTCTCTCTTAGGACTCTTAGGTTTTGAATAGTTATGTTCCCATTTTCATTTGTTTCCATGAGTTTTTTTTAATTGTTTAATTCTGTATTTCCTGGTAGACCCATCCTACTAAAGAATGGATGCTCATTAACCTCCAAGTGTTTGAGTTCTGTCCAAATTTCCTCTTGTGATTGAGATCAAGTTTCAAAGCATTGGGATCTGAAAATATGCAAGGAATAACCCCAATCTTTTGGTACCATTTGAGACCTGATTTGTGACCCAGTGTGTGATCTATTCTGGAGAATGTTCCATGTGCACTCAAGAAGAATGTTTATTTTTCTGTTTAGGAGGAAGGCTCTGTATATATCTCTGAAGTCCATCTGGTTCAGTGTGTTCTTCAAAGCCCTTGTTTCCTTTTTGGTCTTCTGCTTAGATGATCTGTCCATTGCTGAGTAGGGTGTTAAATTCCCCTACTATTATTGTATTATTATCTATATGTTTCTTTAATTTTGTTATTAATTGGTTTATATAATTGGCTGCTCCCAAGGAAGGAGCATAAATATTTACAATTGTTAGATATTATTATTATTATTATTATTATTATTATTATTTTCAGTTAGACCAAGCTAACCTTACAGTTAGCACAAGCTAACCTTACACCTAAAGGACCTGGAGAAAGAACAGCAAATAAAGTGTAAACCAAGCAGAAGAAGAGAAATAATAAAGATTAGAGCAGAAATTCAATGAAATAGGACCCAAAAAAACAGAACAGATCAATGAAACTAGAAGCTGATTCCTTGAAAGAATTAATAAGATTGATAAATCTCTGGCCAGAATTATCCAAAGGAAAATGGAAAGGACCCAAATCAATAAAATCATGAATGAAAAGTGAGAGATCATGACTAACACCAAGGACATAGAAACAATTTTTAGAAATTACTACCAGCAACTATATGCCAACAAATTAAGCAACCTGGAAGGAATGGATTCATTCCTGGGAACTTATAAACTAC